TCTTTGTTTTACTATGGTTGCAAATATAAAAAAATTTCTGTATGTGACATGGCACCAGAGTTAAGTTAGGGTTTTTCAAAATGCTGACACGCCGAGCTCAAAAGGTTCGCCATCACTGCTCTAGGACAACCCAACCAGCACAAAAATGATCTGCCTTCAACAAGAATTTGGCTGGAATCAGCTGAAGCTTCTAACCCGTTTACAGGAGGAAAAACAAGGTGTAGAGGAGCATGATAAATGGGACCACGGGGATATAGTCAGAAAAAAACAGCATGTGATAAACTCTACAGGATAAATGATTCCATTTCTTCAACAAATTGCAAAGAAAAAATAAAAAGGAGAGGGAGGGGACCCTATAGATTACTAGAGATTTAAGAGGCATAACTAAATGGAATGTGTGGGTCTTGTTTGGATCCTGATTCAAACAAACCGCAAAACAATAGCATTTATGAGACAACTTTTTCAAAATTTGAATGCTGAGTTTATTGTCTAATTCAGATGTAAAATTGGTGTTTTTGTTACTTTTTAAAAAGAACCTTTGTATTTTATATACTTACTGAAATATTTATGGCTGAAATAATATGTAGAATTTAACTGTAAATAATTAAGTGAGGGGAATGGGAGAGGTTACAGAAAACAAGATAGGTTATAAATTAAGAATTATGGAAGCTGAATGGTTACATGGATGTTCATTAGTTTTTTATTTTTGTATTTGAAAATTTGTCCATAATAAAAAGTAAAATTAAAACAAAACAAAACAGAGCATGAGCACTACTCAGTTGGCTGGAGCGTTGTCCTGTACACCAAAAGGTTCTGGGTTCAATTCCTGATCAGGGCATGTACGGAAGGCAACCAATCAATGTTTCTCTCTGACATCAATGTTTCTCTCTCTCTCTCCCCCCACCTCCTCTCTCTCTAAAAAATCAATAAAAGCATATCCTCAGTGATGATTAAAATAAAAAAACAATAATTTAAAAAACAGAGCATGAGAATTCTTTGGGTGTGGGTTCCCTGGGTTCCATACCAGCGCCTGGGGTCCTTCCAGGAGCCATCAGCCTGCATGCCTCTAACTGAGCCTAAAGAAAGCTTTGCAGAGACTCCTGAAACAGGGGTCATTGGTCCTCCGGAGGGTTCATGTCCAAGTGGCATGAAAACCAAATAACCAAATAACCAACTAACCAACCCCCAGAGGTAAAACAGAAAAAGGACAAGAGGACTAAGGAGAAATCCTGAAGATGATGCCTTCTTTGTGCCTGTTCCTAAGCAGTACTTGGCTATGGAGTCAGACATCCTGGGTTCAAGTGCTGCCTCTACTACCTACCAGCTGTATGACCTTGGGCAAGTTACTTAACTTCTCAGTTTCTCACCTATAACACACAGATAATATTACCAATTTGATAAGGTTGTTGTGAGGATTACATATTAATGCCTGGCACAGAGTAAGTGCTAAATAAATGTTAGCTGGTATTATTATTATTATTATTACCCAAGCTTCCCAATAATCTGTGGCAAAGTGCATGGGTGGAGGGTGGGGGGTAAAGAGCTGTGCTGATAAAATGCAGAATGGGATTTCTACCCTGCAGAACCTCAGACTGGAAGATCTTGCTCCACTGTCCTGACCATTTGCAGCACACCAACCAACAGAAAGGCTCCGACAAAACCGATGTGACTGCTATTTTTTCTTTAGTCTTGGGGACTGTGCTGAAGGGTGGGGAGCAGAGTGTTGCTCCACACTGCAGGCCCACCAGGACCTCCCTGAGAGAAGGGGCTCACTGCGTGTGTAGACACAAGAAGCCTTCAGTGGGAAATGGACCTCCTTAGATAGGACAGGTGGCCCTGCGCAAAGGCTCGTCACCAACCTGTGCTGGACACAGTTTCAGAGGGCTGAAAGATGGCGTTGGAAGAGGATGGTGGGGATGCTGTGGAAGAGCTGGCCGATTCCTTTCCTTCTAGCTCGGCCACAGGCAGCAGCAGGTTCTGGGCCAGGTGGGTGGGGCTGGCAGGGATGCCATTCTCCAGCAGGAACTCGTCCAGGTCCATGTACTCCAGATGGAAGGACTCGCCATCATATGGGATGGTCTTGTCCCAGATAGGTGGCATGAGAGAGGCTGAAACGGCCATGGTGCTGGCTGCTGCGGCCTCGTCTTCCTCCAGCTTTTCCTTCCCCTTTTCCTTATCTGCAGGCACAAAATCTGTGATGAGACACCACACAAGAGGGTAATTCAATCCCAAGAGGGGAGCAGTGGGCCTCACAGGGCTGGCCCAGCTCTCGCGTCCTGATCCTTCCCATGCATTTCAAGAGCCCACTGTGTTCTCATTATAACCTGATGCTTGACCCAGGCCCACTGGTCTCCTTTAGAGATGGCAGCATGTCCTTATCCTTGCTTGGGCTTTCCAGAATGCTCGCCGCAAGTTCTAAGGCTTAATGTGGTTCAGAATGGGCTGTGGAATTAGCATTTGGAAAAGAGAGGCTACAGGGAGGAAATGGAATTTCTGAGTCTTCCTGATATCTTATCCCTGTGGTAGGAAAGGGTGATTCCTCAGGCCAAGAACTTGTGTTTTCTCCTGTCCTGTCCCTACCAGATATGCTTCTCCACAGCAACTCAGCCCAGGGTTCGAATACCAGTTCTGCCAACCAGTTGCTGTGGTGTGTTAATTTAGCTTTGTATTTAACCTCTCCCAGCCTCAGTGTCACCCATTGTATATAAAAATAAAGCTTTGGTGTGTAGACTAGAGATAACATATGCAAGTGTCTTATATAGTTCCTGGCAAATGGCAGGTATTCATTACTACAGTGAACTCATTGATTCTGTGTCTGATTCATTTCTACATTTCAGGGCCAACACAGGAGCAGGCTGACCGTGGGCTATGGGAAAATTTGCATACTGAATGAAGAATGCTGGAGCTGTCTTTTCAGGACCTTTTCAGAGCAACAATTTCAAGAGAAGTTTATTCCTGAATAAGCAGAGAAGACTGAAGGCAAGTTTTCTGGGAAGGAGGGAGAACTGAATAAGAAAGCTTGTTCCCATTCAAAGCAAAACTAATAAATTAGCAGGGACTGGATCTCACCTCAATTGTCTCAGTCAAAAAGTTACCTGTGTGGATATTAAAGAAAGAGCAAATTAGGAAAAAAAGACAAGAGAGAAATGTGACACGGTTGAAAGGAAAACAAAGTGACAGGGAGGATAATCGGGGAAGTGGGAGATAAAATCATGACAAGTTCATACTGGGTTTTCAAATTGGGGGAGACAACTTTGAACTCTGGATTCTGAAGTGAAAAAGAGAAATCAAATATAATTATGGTGGAAACAACCAGTCATGCATGGACTCCCAGACCTTAGCCGGCCAAAAAGAAGCCTATTGGTCCAATAAAAATGGACACACCAGTGGGTTAAGAAGGTGGAGGTTTTGACACACAGAATTTGGTAATGGCTTCTAAGACAAATTAACCTGAATTCTTGCAACTGTTTTCTGTACCAGGCTTTGGTTGAAAACCAAATGGGAAGAAAGCCAAGCTTTGGTGGGCTGGGTGGGCCAGATGGCCTCGCTGTTATGCTCTGGAGATCCTGACCTACATTCTGTTCAGATCCATATTGGGTAGGGTCATGGGGATCAAAGGAGACAGGAGAAGGAAGGAGATAGAAAAACAGCCACACTGAAGGACAAGTAACAGAAAGTTCCAGGTTTTGCCTGGCCTAAGCAATTAAGAATATTTTAAATCAATACTTTTAGAAAATGGAGTTTTAATTGGAAGAGATGATAAAGAATTAGGCCCGCCCTAACCTGTTTGGCTTAGTGGAGAGGGTCCCGGGTTCGATTCCGGTCAAGGGCATGTACCTTGGTTGTGGGCACATCCCCAGTAGGGGGTGTGCAGGAGGCAGCTGATCGATGTTTCTAACTCTCTATCCCTCTCCCTTCCTCTCTGTAAAAAATCAATAAAATATATTT